ATAGGCGCCGAGCCGATAAAGACCTTTCTAAATACATGTATAACAACAACATGTGATCCATAAACAATTGAGGGATTAGGTGAATTTCACCATATATTAAGTTAAAAGACAAAAACCAACTCAAAAAAATATGTGCAACTCAGGCGGTGCCTGTGGTTCAGTGAGTAGGGCGCTGGACCCATATACCGAGGGTGGTGGGTTCAAGCTGCAACAAAAAAATAGCCGGGTGTTGTGGTGGGCACCTGTAGTCCCAGCTACTCAGGAGCTCAAACAAGAGAATCACCTAAGCCCAAGAGCTGGAGTTTGCTGTGAGCTGTGATGCCACAGCACTCTACCGAGGGCAACAAAGTGAGACTCTGTCTCTTAAAAAATAAAATACGTGCAACTCATGACAAAGGGCTAATTTGCTTAATATGTACTCCTACAAATAAGAAAAGCCAATCCTTTGTAGAAAATAAGCATAGGATTTGAACAGACAGTTCACAGAAGAGGAAACACAACACGAGTGTGTGTTCAACCTCGCTCAGAGTAAGAGAAATGGAACTCACTGGGGTACCACTGTGTGTTTAGTAATATGATGGAGAAAGATGAAAAAATTATAGCAACCACTGCTTGCTGCTGTCATTTATCAACCCTGAGATGACTTCCCTCCATGCCTTGAAGCTCTTCCTCCTGGGTCATTGTATACACTCCTGAACACTTGGTCCTGTCATCAGACAGAATTCTTCCAACACACTCTTCTCCATTCCTTTTCTCCAGTGACCTGGTCTCCACTGTTCTTGGCCATACATTATGAATGCAACCCCGAATAATCCTGCCTGCAGGCAACCCACTCCCCATCTACCTTGTAACTTCTCAACCTCCTTAACGCCAGCAATTCCTTGGCCCCATCAGAACCTGTGTTCCCTCTCTCATACTCCTTTCCTTACCCAGCTTAAATCCCTTGTTCCATTTTATGTAAATACCCCCTGCCATGTACTTTTCACTCTCTTGCCCTCTCATGTTTCATTATACTCAACTGGCAAACCCCTAACTCTGGTTTTACGCAGCCACTGACCTGGTCTGCGCTGGCTCCTGTGCACCTCCATGTGGCCAGAGAAAGTTTTCAGTAAGTTTATGACCATAAACTTCAGGCGGGCCTGAGTGCTGCTTGGCCATCACACAGCCTTCCCTTGGTCCATTCCCTCTCCCTCTCCAACCTCATCCTCACCTGATTACTATTGCCCTGGGAAAGCAAAGCAATCAGAAGAGAACAGTGACAAGCTCCACCTTGGATATACCGGTTTACACACTTCTGTGTTAGCAGTCTTTCCTCCTGAAAGCGTCTGAAGCTTCTTCCTGAAGCTTACTGAAGCTGTTTCCACAGAGGAACAGTCTATGCTCCCAACCAAAACCAGTCCCTCTACCCGGGCACTAGGTCCCATCCCCTTTGCCAGCTAAAGGACACAGCTTCAGCATTTCTCCCTTCTCTCTCTTGCATCCTTATTTTCCCCTTCCCTATTGAATGTTTATCATCGGCAGAGGAACAAGTTGTGTTTTGATTCTTGGCTTTACATTGTGCTTCAGCCACCACTCCATTGCTTCAATCCCTCTACGTCAAAATTCAAGCGTTTCTCTACTCAGTGCCTCCAATCTCTCTTCTTCCATTCTTTCTCAAACTCCTGGTCTCAAGCCATCTCTTGCCTTGGTCTCCTAAAATGCTGGCCGTGTACAGGCATGAGCCACTGCACCCAGCAGCCTGTTCTTTCCAAGCTGTCATCTTTTTCTGTCCCTCTGCTCCACTGAAATGGCTCCTGTGGTCTCTAATGTCTTCCTCATTGCTAAATGCAACGATCATTTCTTAGTCTTTTCATCACATCCACGAGCAGCATCTGAAACAGCTGTGTGCTGCCTCCTTCTTGGAACCTTTTCTCATCTAGGCTCCAGTACACGACAATTTCCTGAATTTCCCCTTAACTCACTGGCCACTTCTTCTCATTCTCCTTCGCTGGTTCCAAATGCCCATGACCTCCAAACACTGCACACTCTGAGATTCAGTTCTTAGACCTCTTCTCTTTTCTATCAATGCTCCTTCCTCCAATGATTTCATTCAAATTTACATCCGCAGCCTGAACGTTTCTCTTGAGACCCACATTCATGTTCTCTGCCGCTTTCTCTATTTCTCACCTGGATGTTTAGTGAACATCATAAACATAACATGCTCATAGCAAACTCCCCATCTCGCTCCCCACAAACCTTCCCCAAATCACCCACTTCTCAGCAAACTCCATCGTTCTAAGTTGATCAGGTCAGAAATCCTTGCCTTTATCTCTTTTTCTCTCTTGATAATAAATCCTGTCAGTTCTGCCTATGAAATGAAACATATCCAGAATCTAACCACTTCTTACAGTCTCCCCTATAACAGCCCCGGTCTCAGATGCCATCCTCTCCCATCTGAGGTATCATAACAGCTTCCTAACTCATCTCCCTGCCTCCTACAAGTCATCTTCAACACAGCAGCTAGAGTGATCTTGCTAAAATATGTCAGGTCTTATCATTCTCAAAAGCCCCCAATGGCTCCCATGTCATTTAGAATAAAGGCCAAAGCCCTTACAACAGCCCACAAGGATGGCCCACTTGCAGCCTACATGGCCTGTGTGGTTTTGCCTTTCTGTGCCCTGACTCATCACTGATGACATCACCTCCTCCTTGGTCCAACCACCTGGGTCTCTTGCTGTACCTTAAACACAGTAGCGCAGTCCTGCTGAGATCCTTCTCCCCCCAGATACATGCAGAGCTCCCTCCCTTACTTCCTTCAAGTCTTGCCTCAAATGTTATCTTTTCAGTGAGGCCACAAATACTTTAAAATTGCAAAAACCCTTTCCTAGGCACTTCCTGATCTTCCTGTATGACTTTCCATTTCTCTTCACTGTTATCACCATCTCACATGCTACGTATCTTATTCATTCCATTAACGTATGTCTATCTCCCCTACCAGATTTTTAAGCCAGGACCACAAGGCTTTTTGCTCTTTTGGTTTGCTTAGTCCACAGCATATAGGAGAGATTTTGGCACAGAATGGATGCTCAAGAATTATTTATTGAACAAATAAACAAAGTATTTAATTGGCCAGAGTGTGGGAAACAGGCATTCTCAAAATGGCTAGTATGAATGCAATTGCTGTAACCTCTACGGAGGGCAAATTGGCTATAACTATCAAAATTACATATGTAGCATGGCCTTCAAACCAGCAATTCTACTTCTAATAATATCCTCCAGATAAATTTACACACGTGTGAAGTGACACATGGACAAAGTAATTCACTGTGGTATTTTTTATCCCTGAAAAGGAATGAAAACAACCCAAATGTCCAGCAACAGCAGACTGTTTACATAAATCATAGTGGACCCATACAATGGAATATTTTGCAGTAACAAAAAAAGAATAAGGAGACTCCTTGTGTCCTGATACAATCTTCCAGGTCTACATTTTTCAGAGAAAAAGAAAGGTGCTGAAAGCTCTGCTTAGTATGACATTTTTTCTGAAAAATAAAAACCAAGGGTACAAAAAGAATATATATGTATCTGTATTTTCTTTATAGGCTACCTGGAGAAGGAGATGCGAGAAACTGCTCACAACGATGTCTTATTTGGAGGGAAATGGATGGGTGGGAGACATTTTGCTGTAAACCCTTTAAAACTTCTTGAATTTTTGTACCATTGAACGCTTTATCTATTAAAAGGAGAATAAGTGGTGGTCTATGCTCCAATATGGAACGATATCTAACACATATTGTTATCAGGAAAAGGAAAATGCAAAAAAGTGTGTATAGTATGCTATGCATTGGGGTGGAAGGCAGGCTTACTTCTCATTATTTACTCTTGTAAATTTTGAATTTTCGACTTTATGCATTTCCTATTCAAAAAGAAATACAATTAAAAAATAAAAATCACACTTTTGCATGTGTCACCTTGACCTGCCAAGTATTTCCCTGGTTATGTAGAGGAGGAAATGGGTGGTCAAAGAAGTCGAGCGAAACAGTGCAGAGGTGGACCCAGGACTGGAACCTGGTGTTTACGGATACACCACATCAAGCCCTCCTCCCCGTGTAATCTGCTCCTGGGTGCTGGTTCACCAAATCCTGTCCAGGTCCCCTCTCCTACCTACCCCCAACCGCCTGTCCTCCCCAGGCTCCTCTGTTAGGGAGCCAGGGGAAGGAGCAGTTCCAGAAAGTTTGCCACCAGGGGCTTCACTCGAGGGCCGGCCGGCTGTGGCTGACAGCTCCTTGGTCCCTGGCAGTTTTTATTGCTGCTCAAAGACACCAACACAGTGCCCTGGGGGACAGCTCTGCACCTCCCTTGAGCCTTGTGCCCTGTAGCTGAACCCAGCACTGCCCAGGTCCCCAGCCCTGCAGCTCCCAGCGGCACCCCCCAGCCTGTACCTGTCAATAATGACGGGGTCTGAGGGTGTCTCATTCCGGTTGCCGCAGCTTTTCCGGTCACAGCATCGGCTAAAGGAAAGATGAGGAGGGAGAGAAAGAGGAAGCCAGTGAACAGGGGAGTTTACAGCGCGTGGCTATGTGTGTACGTGTGCAAGAGTTGGGTGTGCCCCAGGTGAGGGTGCTGACGGGTCCTTTCCTTGGGTAGGGAATCCCTGGGCCTGAGAGGCTCAGATTGGAGAAGCCAGGAAAGGGCTGCAGCCACCTTGGGGTCTCCCTCTGTATACTTTTATGGGAGCGCAGTTTACATATAGAAAAGAGCTCAACTTGAAAGTGTGCAGTTCATGAGTGACCACAGTGAACCTGCCCACGTAACCAGCACCCGGAACAAGAAACACCAAGTGACAGCACCCCAGAACCCCCCTCACGCCCCTTCGTTGTCACTCCCCTCCCCAAAGGTAGCCACCATCCCAACCAGAGAATTTTGAACATGATTCTCTGTTCCATGCAGCAGGGATTGCCTCCAAGGACCCAGCATGACTGGTATCTTCCTAGGGAGAGCTTGCTAGAATTGCCAAGCTCGAGAGTAAAGGGGCAAAAGAAGCCAAGAGCCACCGCTGCCCTAAGGTTCAAAGTTTCAGCAAAGATTAGCATCTGAGCAATCCTTGCAACGCCTGGTCCAAACCTGCCCCGCCCTCACATCCCCAGCGAGCTCCTCCCCTGAGCTTTATTAGGGAAGCTTCCCAGGAGCCGCAGGAGGCCTCTCACAAAAGTGGGGAAGCCACATAAACAGGCCCGGCTAATGGGGCCTCAAGGACTCAGCACTGTGCCCGTGGGCCTCACTCTTCCCTCCCCTCTACACCCAGCAGTTTTCCCCAGGGAGCAGTGGCAGGAGGGAGGGAGGGAGGGGTGATGGCACTGGGAGAGGGCAGGGCCTGGTGGGACAGTCTGTGGCATCACCTTGGCAAAGGGGGAAGGTGCAAGTGACAGCCCATCTCACCTGCACATGATCTCATGGGTGAGCAGCACTCGGCACATTTCAGGGTTCTTGTCCTGCCCTTCATAGATGATGGCCTAGGGAAAGGGCAAGTGCATAGTCTGTGGGGGAAGGAGGCTCCTCTCAAGTCCAGGTGGCAGCACAGAGATGGGCCAGCGGTCCAGGCTGAGGGAGACCCTGTGCCAGGGAAGAGCATGCCCTCCTCCTTGCTCTGGGGGAGCCTGGGAACACAAGGCAACTGCCCAAGTGGAGGTGACCCTCTCCTCCTAAACCAGGACCATCCCCTGAGTGGCAAGAATGGTTTGAGGTCCACAAATTCTGTGTGTCTACATGCAGCTCTTTCAAGAGCTAGTGCTGCTTGGGGCCAGAGTTCAGGACCAAGGTCAGGCTGCTGGGGGGAGATAGACACACTTTTTATCCCACCCTGCATCATGCCCCTCCCCTCGCCCCTGAAAATCCTCCTGTGTACAGGCTGTTCCCAGGCTCCTAGTGGACCTCTGCCTCTGATCTCAGCAATCCCTGCCAGCTAATCAGCCCCAAGAGCCAGACCATACAGCTCCCTCTGGCACCTCGCCTATATCTTCCCCCCTAGAATGCCGGATCACCTACTGGCCAGTCTCCCAGCTCCTCTCCACCCAGAAGCAATGGGTGAGCTACCTAACTTGCAAATCTGCCATCCCAGTTTATAACCCCATTTGTGGGGGACCTCTCTCTCTCTGGACTTACCCAAACCCTTCTACACTCATCTCCTACACAGTGCCATGTTGCCATGGCCTGACCTGCCTCCCAAACAACAGCCATCACAGGCTTTCTTGAAACAAATCATTTTTTTCCCCTGCCCTGGGATTGGGTGGAAGTTGCTAGAAGACCCTAAAGCTCAAATCTCCATCTTGCTTTTTTTGCCCACAAATCTGGCCCATTAGAGACTCAACCCTACTTACCAGCATGCACAACTTCTCTGAAGAGCCCTGGGACTTAGGGGCCTGGCCAGGGCGGAAAACATCAGGGCCTATGCAGGTTTCAATCTCCCCCATTCCTTATGCTGGACCCTGAGCTCCCTTCCTGTGACCCTCAGATCAGCAAGATGCTGAGGAGCCACAGTGGGAATTCCCAGGCCACCCCTAGATGCCCTCAGTGGGCCAGTGCACCCTTCCCCCAGCTGCGGCTGAGGGTTTTCTCTGGAGAATCGCTTTCAGTGCACAAGACCTGCCTTGTCTGAAAGTGTCTAGGAGGTGACATGCTCCCTGTAGGAGTGGCCCCCAGACAATGGCTGACTGATCACACAGGATTCAAATCCTGGCCTCCTTGCTTCAAGTGGAGACACGTCTGTTGCCATTTGTTGTCCAGAGCTCCCTATGCAGTTTCCTGTCCTGCCTCCCTCCCTCCCTACTCCTGAGAAAGCCCCTCCCATGTCCCCAGTAAATATATGCACCTGAGTTGCCATCTCAAGCTGGGCTGCTAGGGACATGACCCAAGCCAGGGTCTCTTCCAGAATAGAGGGCAAGAGCTCTACATCCTCCTGCTGGAGGCTGTGGCAGGAACAGGGGGAGCTGGAGGAGATGCTCACTCAGCCTGAGAGGAGGGCAGACAGGCCTGAGCACCCCCTGGGCTGGCTCACCTGCTTGGACATGGAGTCAATGAGACGAACATAGAGATCTTGCTCCGTCCGAAGTCCTAGGGTGAGAAGGTGGAGAGGGCTTGCCGTGGGGAACATGGGCAGCCTCCAAGGACGAGACTGCACCCTCCCACCCCACCCTCCAGCCCTGGTGTGCCTCATGGTGCAGTGCTTGGCCTTCCTCAGGGTCAGGGCTGGGCAGGAGCAGCAGCCTCCACTCACCATTGTTGTACACCAGCCGGAGGCGGTAATGGATCCCATTGTTGGTCTTTTCAGTCCCTGGCTCCTGCAGAGATGGGATGGAGAGGATGGTCCAATGTACAGGGCTACTCCTAGCCCTGCTCCCTCTCTCTCCCTTCCACCTGCTACCCTTCTGTGCTCATCCAGCATCCAGGCATTCATCTGCCCCAGTGTCCCAACCCATCCTGTCCCAATCAAGCCCACGAGCCTCTCACTCGGTCCTTCTCCACGAAGTCAATGAAGGCTGTGCGTTCCACCTCCACGGGCTGTCCCTGCCGGTCGTACATGGCCAGCACGAAGTGGAAGAAGTTGGATTTCCTGAGGTTGGAGGGGGGCTGCTTCTCAAAGTGTGCTCGTGCCAGGCCCACACCACTGTGGGAGGAAAGGAGGTGTAAACCACCAGAAGGGTCCTCCTGCCAGAAAGACCCCAGCACCTCAGGCTAGGTAGGTGGATTGGCCAGGACTTGGCTCCAATGTGCAAAGAGTTTATGCAGGAACAGATAGCTAATACATCCTACTTACTTGACTATGGAGCGCTTTTGTTGAGGGATATGGTATGAGAAATACAACTAAAGGCCATTGGAAAGTTCTGAAGCCAATAAAGGATTAGAAGATGCTCTGAAGTTAGGGGAGGGCACAGCATGGAGGACAAGTGAGAGGCTGCTGCAGGGATGCAGGGGAGAGGATGAGGATGGAGGAACTGTCTTGTGAGCCATTTGGACCAGCTTTTCCAGGTGTTCATCATGGTACATTACTGTGACAATGGCTGCCATGTTCATCACTATTTAATATTTTTCTTCATATTACTTTAAATCAATTTACTCTTCTACTTGGCTTCATGCAAAGCCATAATATCTGAGATGTCATGGGCACAAGGGACTTGCTATTGTTTTACTCATACAGATTAAAATAAATACATCAATAATAAAAGGAAAATTGTTCTTCCTCCTGAGAGCCTGCCCAGGGCCTTAGAGGTCAGATGAAATGTTGGCTTAAGGGGCAGAAGTGATGGGTCTTCCTGTCCCCTGATCAAAATGGGGGTGGGAGGGAGCACTGACACCTTTTCTTTCCTACCAAAGGTTTTCTCAGCAGATGCTCCTTTCCCCAGGGACAGCACCCCTTCATCCTTTTGCCTCCCGCCCAAGTCCTGACCAGCCCCTCACTCCCTTCCCTAGTCAGGAAGAAGCAGGGAAGCCCAAGAGGACTTTTGATCACAGCGGGTCCCTGATTACTGCTGATGAATATGCTAATGAGGCATCAACCCCGAGCTCCTCCCTCCTGCTCCCAGGACCAGCTTAGCTTGAACTCCATCCCAGATAGGTTCCAGAACCACCCAGTGAGAGAGAAGGCCAGAGGAGGTGGGTTTGTGAGGCAATCCCAGGTCAGGTCATTGTGACATTTTATTCTGTCATCTAGCTAGGGGAAGGCTCCTGAAGGTTCTTAGACAGTGGGTAGGGAAGGTACAGAGAAAGGAGGAGGGCTTGGCAGAACGGGGATGGATACTGAGAAGGAAGAGAATCTTTTAGACCCCTGAGTATTCCCTTTCTACACCGACACTTGCACTGCCCAGACCAAATTCCAGACAGGTACAAAATACATCATTGACCAGCCTGACTTCCTCTCCTGCTCATCTCCTTTGGCCCCTGTTAGTCAGTCCTGGGTTCTAGCTGCCCCCCAGGACCAGACCTGGGAAGTCTGGCCTAACAGCCCACACTTCTCACAAGAGCGGGTTACTGGGGACACAAGGCATAGACACTAGGGGAGGGGCAGAAGAGCAGGTCCCCTGGGGTCTGTGGACCAGTGTCCAGTGCTGCTACCAAGGGGGCTGTACTGCCTCCAGTGCCTGTGCCCTGCCCCACAGCAGGTGTGGGCTCAGTTCTGCCTCCTCTGAGGCAGCCCCAAGCAGCATTCTGCCCTCTGCATGGCAGTTCAGGGGTTGTCTCAAGCCCGCACCCATCTGTGGGGCAGTGCTGGCCAGTTTGCAACTCCAGGTGGGCAAAAACAGGACAATATTAATGACAGGGCAGGCCCACAAGGAGGATGGCAGAGCAAGCAAGGGCTCTGACGGGCTCATAAGGGGCTGCTCCTTGCCTGGGAATGTCGCCAGCCTACTCCATTGGCAGCCCTGCTGGGCTGGAGAAGATCAAGGTAAAAGGAGGAAAGGTTTGGCTTTGAAGACATTGCAGTATTTCCTCTGAACAAGGGACAGAGAAGGACATGAGGGCAGTCTGTGGGGAGGAACAGGAAGTTAGAGCGACAGAGGCAGGTGTGGATGGTGCCTTCCTTTTCCTGGGTGACCCTAAGGTCCCTTCACCCAGAACATGCAGGAGGTGACAAATCAACACCTGCTGAATGGAATCGCAAGCCCCAAAGGGAGAGGGTTGGGCAGGAGGAAGGGGAGATTTTTCATCCTTTGGGATTAGCTGATGCTCTTGTAATGAGAAAGCAAACCAAGATTAAAGAACGGAAAGAAAGAAACAGAGAGACACACTCAAACAATGCAGGAGGTGCTGAGTGGTCTCAGAGCCCTGATGGAGATGTGTGGAATACCAGTGAGAGGGAGGGCCACTGCCTGTTCTCACACTGGCGTAGGGATGTGGACCAAGGCCATCAGTGTTTTTGATTTTGTGGTCTCCAAAGTAGAGCTGCCTGAGACAGCCATTGGCATGTGGTGAAAAATTTAGAGGAAATCTACTGATGTGTATCCTTAATCAAAAAAAAAAAAAAAAAAAAAAAAAGAGAGAGAGAGAGCAGGAGGGAAGGGGGAGTAGAGCCCCTAAAGCCGGGAGAGGCAAGCGTTCTAGGAGGGTTCCTAGAAGCTGATACTGAGACAAAGATCCAACTGCCAGTTTATGTGGACAGTGATTCCAGGAAAACCTGGGGGTCGGGGGGTGAAACAATGTTGAGAAGACAGCCCTTAAACGGCACATTTTCAACAAGTTTCCACTGTAGGCAACTGGACCTCAATCCCATGGAGAATTCTGGAAAAAGCACAGAATGTGCGCTTCAGTGATCTCAGCAGAGGGATGGGTGAGGGGGCCTGGGGTACTTACCCATCAACTCCATCAGTCACTGGCTGAAGGTTTCTGGGGCTATTATTTCTCAGGGACTTTTGGCCTGTCCTTCAAGTGGACAGAACAGGCTTGGCAGCCCAAGCATGTCCGTAAGCAAAGGGAAGCAGATGGCAGCAGGAGAAGCAGACCCTTTACTAAGGGCCCTGAGTGGTATGGGTGGGCGCCAACTCCCAGCCACCCAGAGGCCTGGGCTGTGCTGGGGCCAGTTGGCAGCACAGCCCTGCAGGAAGCAGTTTATGACAAATATAAGTAGGAACCGCCTCACCTGGCACATGTATTACTAGAGTCCATAATTCAGAAACATTTTATCCACTTAGCATCATTAGCGAACAAACCATGCCACACAAGCCCCCTTTTCAGATAAATGCAGCTGAGTGACAAAAATGGCCACATTAACCACTTTTGCAAGACTCCAAAATGAATTATCCATTTCTTTGCTTTCTTAAATAGATTGTCTTAAACACAGTGCTCAAAACACTGTCCTCTCAACTCCAGAGTATGCTGGGGCAGTGGGGCATTTGCTCCTGTCCTGAAGAACCCAGATTTGGGAGAATATGCTCACTTTTATATTTCTACCATGCTCCCCTCACCCTCTTCCCACGTTTGTTCTGTAATAGGTCAAAAATTACAAGAGACTGTGACACCAGAAAATAATCTATTTGTACAGATTCTTTCTAGTAAGAGTAAACCCGCCGTGCAGCAAGCATGAGTGTGCAGGGAAACCAAGGGCACCCTGACCCTTCCAGTCTGGGCCATTCAGGGGGATGCATATGGGGATGTGATGGGGGCTTCAGGGCTGCCTGGCTGTTCTTCCTGGGACCACCTGACAGGTCCCTGGAGATGTTCCTTTGCAAGGCTGAGCAGGGTGCTATAGAGTCCTGTTGCAGCAGCTGCTTTACCCTGCCACAGCTGTCTAAAACAGATGAAGTCCCTGTACAGTCTCTGTCCTCCCTTCACAAAGCCACTTGTGTCTATACCCTTGACTACCTGCCTGTTATAAATGTAAGCAATTTAACAACAAACTCCATAGAGGACAAGTGACGGAGCCTGGAGCCTTGGCCTCTCCTCAGAGCTCCCCCAACCCCCTGCAGACCTTCTACCCTCCCCTCCCCTCACCAAATGCTAACTCTTGGCCACCTCAACACCCCAAGGTTTGAGCAGCATTTGGCTTGGGCCTGCCTGCTGCTTGTCTGGGAAGCTGGGGAAATAAGCCCTGATGTCATCAACAAGGAGAGGCTCTTTGTTAACTTTGTCCTCTGCCCTCCAAGAGGTGGAAAGAGGAAAAAGTCTATGTCTCCTGCTTCTCATCTCTTTTCTCAGATTTTCCTAGTCTCTCTCTGTTCTTCTTTGCCCTATCCTGGCATAACTACTAAGTCCCCATTCCTTTGCTCTTCATCCTCCCTGCCTCCAAGCATCCCATTGGCCCCCACTCTCCCCTGCAGGCATCCCCAGGGCCCTTAGGAATGCTGATGAGAGTCACACTGGGCCTGGTACTCCTGCCCAGCCAAGTTCTATTGGCCTACTCTTGCCCAGCCCCTGGCTGTGCTGCAGACACATGTGGGGAAGATAAAAGCAGCAGCTCCCTGGGACACACTCACCTTAGCCCTATAGGCAGAGGGAGGGCCAGGTGGCTAGAGGCAGCTCCCAGACCATGTGTCCAGACAGTCCTGCTGGAGAGGTTTGGGGCTGCGGAGGCCCCATATCCCCTCTTCCTATTGCCCCAGGAAACTAGGAAGTAGGGATGGCAGGGGAAGGGTCTCCCTGGCCTGCTCTTCCACTCTTCCTCCGGCCTTCAATTCCACCTAAGGGCTGCCTATCCTACTTCTCTTCTGCCCACCCTCTCGTCACCCACTCACAGGCCTGCCTGCCAGGTCCCAGGCTGAGGAGTGGCTATTAATTATTAAAGCAAACAAAAGCATTTCCTAGCAAGGAGGCTGGCCTGCTGCTGCTTACAGGAAAGCAGCCCCAGCTGGCCTCCCTCTCCGGGGCCCTGCTAGTAAGCTGGGACGAGGTCCAGAGGGAGGGCTGGTCTGGGTCCTCCGGGGGTCTCCTCCAGGGGAAGGGCTGGCCTGGGCCTCTAGAGGTCTCCCCAGACTGGGACACATATCAGAAGGAGAAGACAGCTTCTTCTGTGCTGAGGAGGCCAGCAAGAGGACTTGGGTCATCTGCAGGGGAGCCAGGGAAAGGTGTGCTGGGACTGGGCATATGGGTCATGCAGACAAAGTCCTGTTGGTTCAGGGCAGGAGCAGGGGTCCCTGTACAGACTTTCCTTATAGGGAGACCCTCTCTACCAGCTTTCCCCCCTTCTCTTCCCTTCCCCTAGTTTAAGGGGATGCAGCCCCTCCTTTCTCTCTACTGCCCCTTTGCATAGAACTTTCCTTCCTGTTGGCAGAATCTCCCTCCCTGAATTTAGCAGGCCTCCTGAGCCTTCTCCTCCTCACCCACCTTATGTAAAACCTTGGCATTATTGTAAAAGTCAAGCTGCAGAACTGGGGAGGGGTAGCTTCTCCAGGACCTGGTCAGCTAAAACCTAGAGGCCTCCAAGGTAAAAGAGAGCCCAACAGAAAGAAATTCAGGAACTTTTAAAGATTTATTCCTGCTTTCTTCAGCAGATACTTACTATCCCCTTTGCAGACTTCTTGAGCCTGTCCTGGGTGCCGTGGACACAAGAATGAATAGACCTCTATCCTTGCCCTAGGAAGGCCCCAGCTGGCAGGGCAAGGAAGACCAGGACAGGCACAGGACAACAGCTGCTGGCCTGTGGTAAGCTTCCCTAGGCAGCACTAAGAACTGTTTCCCTGAGCAGGGCCCAGAGAGAACAGGTGCCGGGGTGAAGGGTTCCTGAGGCTGGTGGGACTTGATTCAGTGGGTGTACGGGTGCTGAGGGCAGGGACTGTTTCAAGAGAAGACAGGAATTTCTGGTAGTCCAGCTATCCCCCAGGTATCCATCATATGCCAAGTATTACACCGAGGCTTGGAAAGAAGGCTGGGGTCAGACTGTGATGGGCCTTGAACGCTGAGTATCAAGGAGGAAGTAGAAGATTATTTTTAATCAGGGGAGAGACACAATCAGAGAGAAGTACTCTGGAAATATTGCTTTGGTTCCTGGTGCATGGAAGATGGATTTGGAGGAGTGGTGAGGGGCTGGGGCTGGGGTGGTAACCCAGAGTATGGTTCATCATCAAGGCAGGAGGGAGAGGGGAGGGGTATCAGCATTCCAAGTGGGGGCTGTGAGCACTGAGATTGCGACTAGGATACAGAGGAGAACTTCCCCAAGTCTTGACAACCAGGTGGATTTGGGGTGCAGGTGAAGAAGAAATCAAAGACAAGGCTCAGATTTGAGGGAGATTGTCTGTGAAATTTCCCAGAAATGAGAGGGAGAGAAACTAGGCAGAGGTCAAACAGTGAGGCAGGGACAGGGGAAGGAATTGTCCTTGTGGCTGTTTTAGGACGGGAAGACTTAAGCAGAGGACTGACTGAGAAACAAGATACAAGGAGAGCACTAACAGGAGACACTGGGAAGAGTGAAGAAGAAGGATTGGCCTCTTCCCTCTGGGAGGGAGGAGGAGGGTCAACCAAAGACCAAGTGACCAAATGTGTGGGGGCTCCCAATCTGCATCCTGGGACAGGGGAGTCTCCACATTTGGGGATTAGCAGACCAGGCCTGAAGAAACGCCCTGTTCAAACTGCAGAAGCCCTCTGCCTCCCAGCAATGTGGCCCTGGGGACTCAGGCTGGACATCTCAATCCCCCCCATGTGCGAGCATCACACCTTACGCCTCTCACACAGGCTACAAGGGCACTGCCTCCTCCAGACCTGCTTCCCCTTCAGCAAGCCTGCTGGCTGAGGTCAGGCACGGGAAAGATCAGACAGACATGGAACCTTAACTCCCAGAGACCCTACTGGAACTTGCCACTCTTATAAGGAACTCCCACCACACAGCCAGTGCTGAGAATAAAGATGAGGCCATGATAAGAAACTAACCATCTCAAGTTAAAGGAAAAGCCAGAACCAACAGAGAAATAGGCAGGCTTTGAAATGTAAGCATAGCACAAGAAAACACAAGCTACTGGGAAGAAAAATGAGAAGGAAATGCACTAAAATGTTGACAGTAATTGGGTGGGATTTGATTTTTTATTTTCTAGTTTTTCTGGAGTATAGTTATATCACTTGCAAAACTTGTGGAAGTTAATTCCTCCACAAGAGCCTTTTTCTTCCTGAAGAGATCAGCTCCCGACAGAGCCCCAACATCTGACAGCCAGACAAGAAAGGGCACACAGAAGCAAGGCTTCAGTTGGTCCAAGAACTGGATGTGTGTCTGTTAGAGGGTGCTGCTGCTGGGGCTATGGGGGCAGCCTCTGGGCAGTCTATAGGTGTGACTGTGGCCCCCTGTGTCAGGTCAGGTCAGCCCTGGCACCCCCCCATCTGAATCCCTCAGTCTGCTGGACAGCAGCTGCTCAGACTTCCAGGAGCCCAGGGCCCACTGTCCCAGCTGAGTCAGCACCTCCCCAGTCCTGACCAAAAGCTGTTCTCGCTGCTCACAGCTGGAGGTACAAAAAGCCCAGCGCCCAACATGCTTTGGGAGTGGTCCAACAAAGTTTTGAAGTTTCCATCCAAATGGAGTCAATCCCCTGCCCAGACCCCTGGAAAGGAGTCAGGAGAGACAGGTGTGGGTGCTGGGTTCTCAGTGCCTCCCACAGAACCTACCAGGAAAAACACCTGACAGAGCGGCAGGAGCCCTGCCTAGTGGCTATCCCTAATCAGTCCAGGGAGGCCAACTGCCCATCTCATCTCTTCCCCACTGTTCAGCCCTCAGTGGCCTCTCTGGCTCTACACACCCTCGTTCTCCAACTCCGAGGGGCGTGGGAAAGGAGGAAAGGGGCTGGGTTTCTTGCCTTTCCTGACAGAGAGCCGCGGAATTGGACAAGGAAAGGCATTGGGACTGCCCAGGAAGGAGGGGCTGGACGTTCCTAGACGGCTGGTGGTTGTGGGTCCTGGTTCAGGGACTGCGGGCAGAGGGGGTGCCTCCTTCCTCAGAGCTGAACACCGCACGGCTGGGGTGGCGTTTACCGCCGCACCCACAAGCGACCGTCAGAAATCGGAGCCGGGACAGCCTGAGTGGAGCCAGAAGCCCCGCCCCGGCCCGCCCCACAGCCTCAGGAGGAAGCACAGGCGCTCGGGACAGGCTGGGCAGGAGAGCTCGCCTGGACCGTCCAGAGTTAGGGCTCCTTCCACCCCACGCTCCAAAACCTAAGCAAGCTGAGCAGAGGCAAAGCAGAGCCGTCCAACCCGAGCGCACTGGGTCGCGTCGGAGCGCTTACCTCTGCGCCGCGGTGCTGGCGTCCAGGATGCCCGCGCCCTGCATCCAGGAGCGCACCGAGCCCAGGCCGGCGGGCAGCAGCGGCTCCTCCTTCAAGTTCAGCCCGCCGCGGGGCAGAGCGTCCTGCGCAGGGAACATAAGGGCGCACAGTCGGTGGGCGCCCCCACTACCCAGGATTCGGTCCCGCCGAGGCTGCGGGCGTCGCAGCTCAGCCCGACCCGACGGCACCGGGCGCCTTCAGCAGAGCAACGCCGAGTCTAGATGGCTTAGTGCGCGCTCGATTCCTGGGCGCTCCCTCGGAGAAAGCGGGTCCGCGGGCGCCGGCGTTGTCCCCTCCCCTCCCGGGGCGCGGGGCGGGGAGATGGAGGGATTCCCCCGCGGCCTGAGCGCTGGCGGGCGGACTGCGAGCGGCGCAGGGAGGGCGGGGAGCGGAGCCCGCACCCGGTCCGCGCGGAGGCGCCCCAGAGGCGCGCTCTGGCGGCTGCCCAAGGCCGTGGTCGTCGGAGGGGGGGCCCGAGCGCCCCGAGAGCTGCCTCGGGC